AGTCTATACCTTAGTTACATCCCATCTGGATTCGTGCAACACACTCTATGTGGGGCTGCCTTTGAAGACTGCTCGGACGCTTCAGTTGGTCCAGCAATCAGCAGCCAGACTACTCCCATGTTATGCCAGCTCCACTGTCCACCAGTATGTTTCTGGACGAAAATCAAAGTGCTGATCATTATCCTTAAAGTCCTAAATGGTTTGGGCTCAGACTATTTGGCTAACCACATGTCTTCATATGAGTCTGTCCAGGTGCTGCGATTGGCAGATGAGGCCCTGCTCTCAGTCCCACGCCCATCCCAAGCACAACTGGTGGGAATGAACTCCCTCCCTAAAGAGATCAAAAACCCCCCCCCCCCCCCCCCCCCCCCCGCTTGCTCTCCTTCAAAGAACAAAGACTCTTACATAAAGAATGTGGAAATGGCTTGTTACTCTGGCTTTAAATTTTAATGTTTTTTTTTATTAGTCTCAGTTTTAAGTCTTGTTTTTAAATGTTTATTTGTCAAAATGTGAATTTTTAGTTGTGTGATGTCTATTTTGCTGTAAAGTTTCACTATTATTTGATGTTGATGTCTAATATGTTATTATTTGATTTATAGTTTGTTTATTTGCTTTTTTTGTCACATTTTACAGTATTGAATGTTTTCCACTGTATGTTGTGAACCGCCTTGAGTCCCACCTTGGGAAGGTAGGGCGGGATAGAAATAAAGTTGTTGTTGTTGTTGTTGTTCTGCTTCTTCTTCTTTTTCTACTTCTTCTTTTTCTTCTTTTTCTTCTTCTTCTTCTTCTTCATCATATCTTGCTCAGAACTGCAACTAAACAATTTTACATTTTTTCTGGACTATCAGTGGACAGGTAGCAAATAAATATTAACTTAATCTAACACTCCTTTATCTATATTTGGGTCTCATTGATTTTAAAGGATGTAACTGGAAACTCTTTATAAAAATACATATGCAGCTTTACAAAGAGTACAGTTCTCCCAAAGATGCTAGGGGAGCCTTATAGAAAAGCCTTTTCCATGGGTAACTGACCTCTGCTGTATTAAGCTATAGAAAGGGAGATAACGTTGCTCACAAATGGCTACTGGAGTTTTTGATCCCAACAAGGTGTGCCTTCTTTTAATGAAAAAGCAGAACACTAGTGTATTTTCCACTTGTCATTTCCCAAAACAAATGATGTTGTATGTTTTTTTTTCTAAAAACAGAAAATGATGTGATATTGATTAAGGACTTCATCACACTAGAGAAGTAATCCACTTTAAATCGAGTTTTTGCCTTCTGCAGAATTCTGGGGTTTGTGGTTTGGCGAGGCTGTTAAAGGCTCCTCCCTAAACTACAAACCCCAAAATTCTGTAGGAGGCAGCAACCAGATTTAAAGTGGATTCATTCTCTAGTGTGATGAGGTAGTAAGAATGCACCCTCTTGACAGATTTTGCCAATCCCATGGTGAGAAGATTTGAGCGGGGGAAAGGAATCCATCATTCATTGAACAATTGAGCTGAAATTATCACATGATAACATATCACCGTTAGTTGCTTTCTCTTATCAGCAGAACAGGTGTAATTTCAAACTACAATGAAAGGTTACATATTCCTATGGAGATAAACTGATTTTGACCTTTTCTCTGTAGTAAAGAGCTTGTAGTTGTTTTATTGAACTTACAATATCCAGTGTTTTAGTCACTTAAATAGTCGTCTTGCAATTTTAACTGATACACATAATTCCTTTCTCCTTAGCTTGCAGTGATGAAATGCTTGAATTATTATCATATTTGACAGTTCTTTTTCTGTAGTGACAATAAAAATTCTAATTTTCCCCTGCCTTGAAAAATAAGAGCATTTTCTAAATAAAAAACAATGCAAATGAAATTAAACAACTGGCATTTGAAGCGCAATGAACTGAAGCAAATTTACTTTTACTTAAACTTAATTCCCAATAACTTGGAGCACATTAACTTACTTTTGACTTCAGTGGATTTGGGACATTAATAGAATTTGGCTCATTTTTGTTTTTGAAATAGTGAACAGAGAAATACAGTTCTTCTCTTTAAAAAAATGTAGAAACTCATCCCATGCCAATGAAGCTGTTGAAACAGTGTACTCCTTTTGACCTTTTTTGGTATCATTGAATGTTTTTTAAAAATTCAGTTAATTTTAAAGGGCTTTTGTGCTTTTCCCCACTACTTATAATAGGCTTTGAACAAAGTATAAAGAGTATTAAAAGGTATGTGCTTTTTCAATGAAATTACATTAATCTGCTGCTTCATTTCTATGGATCAGTGAGTGTCAAAACAATATGTAACAACAAATGAAATGAAAAAGCAACATGAGAGAAGAGGGTTTTAGAAGGCCAACAGTTATTGAAAGCCATGACTGTTAGGCGTTAAGGCAACACCGTCAGTGAGGAATGGAGTAGAAACCATACAAATATTAATTTAAATTTCCAGGGAAAAAATATGCAAGTGGGCTTTAGTGAGCAGCCTATCTGTATCATCTCTTCAAGTCTGTGTCAGATATCATGTATTTTTTAGACAGAGGTTATTAACACAAAAAGCCACTATTTCACGACAGTGCTCAATTGCTGATACTGTCCTTCAGTAGTTAATTGTGGAGAGGAAGCAGATCAGCAGTGGAATGTGTATGGTGTCATTTCCCTGTCTTATGTGATAAAATCTTGGTTGTTCAACAGATCTTTTTTATCCTAAATCTCTTATATCTTCCCTTACATCCTTAAGAATCTCCCCCCAAATTAGCAAGACATATTTATTTTAGGATGTGCAGTAGGACTTGCAATGGTGAAGAGAGATGTAGTGCAAGACTATTCCATGTTGTTTTAGGAGAGCCTACATTTGAGAGATACTACATTTACATAAAGACACCTTCTAGAATCTTAAGTTTCCCTTAACACACTAGAAGAGCTTTCTAAAATATTCCGATGAATGAAGAAGGTTGGAAAGAAAGGGAAAGTTTCCTCATGCAAGACTTTCAAACATACATTTGATATGTCACTGTTTGGGCTATTGCATACTTAGTTATGTCTCTTACAAACGTCTTATGGGGTGAATGAAAATTAGCACCAAGAATAACTGCTAGGTGTATATTATCAGGTTGTGTTTTCAAGAAAAGCAAGCAAGAAACATAAAAATTCTGTGGCTTCCTCCACTTAAGTTAGGTTTGATTGAAACATGAACAGGGGCCTAATTTCCTGGCAAGTGTAAGCCTTCTGACCTTGTTTATGGTGTTAGAACTATACAAAAGAAATCTTTGTAAAATTATAAAAAGTATTTTTACACCTCATTTTCAAAATCACTTGATGTGTATTATATATAGGCTGGTCTTTTGTGTGGTGAAAAAATGCTGACATACTAGCAGAGGTTACGTGGGGAAATGTTAGCGGTGGTACAATGAACAGGGATTGTAATATACAAGAATGTAGAGTGCATATTTATCTTTTTTCATTGGTAAGAGCCATTGTTCTACAAAGGAAATGTGCTGAACAAAAATGAAAGCTGAATATTGTGAAGAGTGATAATTCTGAACATAATATACTGCATAATCCCACCCTGGAAATGTGTGTATGCATACAAGTATATATTTATGCCCCCAAGTTTCCTTGATTGTTTTTTTTAGATAGATTGATGATTATCACTGAACTTTGTTTCCAGGCTGCTAGTGCCAGTAAAATCCTGTGTTCCTTTATTTGGCATATTCCCAATATTTTATTCTCCAAAATTCAATGTGGTGCAAGTAATCATTGGTGTATGAGAGTGAATGTTAAGCATCCTTTCATTATAGTATATATCATTATATATTGAATTATGCCTTTTGAGAATGATTATTGACATATTCTTTTCCTTTCCCTCACTTTCCTTTCCTTCCCAGAATATAAACTCAACAGGGAAAATACAACATTGCTCTACCCCAATGAATCTTTCCTTTTCTTTCCTTCCCTCTGCACTTCCCATGCACCCCTCAGATTTGGGGGATCAGATAAGAAAGTCTTCAGGGTATGTTTCACTGGCAGATAACCCTCAGAAACTAACGCTGCATTTACTCTTAAGAAAACCACCTGGAATACCTTGATGCCAAAGCTACCCCAATTCAGCATAGCTGTGTTCCTCGAGCTCTTTTGGTGTCCTGATGGCCAATTGAGCTGAAAGCACATTGTGGTCACTTCCACTAATGCTTCATTGGCCAAGAGCACCTCCCTTGCAGGAGCTTGCTGGTGACATCACTTTTAATGAGGTCACAACAGGGCACCTAGCCTTGTGACCAGCAGAAGCAATATTGCCAGAAAGGCTCTACTGGGGAGCTGTTTCTAGCCAGCAGCACAGCAGTGGATCTGTTAGATGTGTAGACATTAGGGCTGGGCGGTTTCGTTTCGTTAATTCGTAATTCGTTAATAATTCGTTAATTTTTTCAATTACAAAACGATAACGAACCATTCTGGAGCAATTATTTTAAAAAACGAATTTTCAAAAACGTTTTGTAAATGCTTCGTATTTCGATATTGTATTCGTTTCGTTATTGTTTTGAGGTCGTTTCGTTATTATTTCCGCATGTCTGGGGCAAGTTTTATGGTTGTATTTTGTGTAAAAAAAAAATTATAATATCACACCAACAGTCAACAACAGAGGGAGAGGGAAGCTTCAGAAGTTTTTGGAGGTTTTTTAGCGTATTTCGCGGTCGCGTCCGCCATTAACGAATCGATTCGTTATTGTTTCGGAAATCGATTCGTTAATGAATTTTTTTACCATTTACGAAATTTCGTAAATATCGAACTTTTTAAAAGGAAAATTTTGTAATTATTTTAAATATCGAAACAAAAAAACCCCCCAAATACAAATCGATTTTAGAAACAAATTTTTCCGTTGTTACCCAGGCCTATTTAGATTCTAGGAGAAATGATCAGAAAAAGTATCTTTTCTGAGGTCTAGTCCTATTGCACAGGCAAAAAGAAACATTAGGATCACTCAATAGCTGCTTCTCCTTGTTTCAGATTAATGCCTGGAAGACGTACTTCTGCTGTAAAACCAGCCGTATGTCATGTGGATTCCCCAGAGCATTTGCCAGGTGAGTCTATTTTATTTGACCATTGTAGACACTACTTAAATTATAAATGATTTGTGTTAACAGAAAATTAGGTAAAAAATATTGTCCTGTCATTCTTAATTATAGCAGCTGAAAGGGTCACTGAAAATGTTTTGTGAATAATCCTGTTTCATTTTTACAGTTTAATAGGAATGTATTCACCCTGAAAGATAAAATTCATTGATTCAAAATTGTAAAAACTTTTTCTTTAACATTTCATTAACATACTCTGACTTAACTATGAGAATTCAAGGTGCGTACAGGTGTACTGTGATTGTGGAAATGTGCTAGGATGGTGTAAAGTGTTTTCTTGCCTGATTTTGTAGTATTCAGAACTCAGAAAGAAAAATCAGGAATAATAATAATAATAATAATAATAATAATAATAATAATAATAATCTTTTTTATTCTGCCCTATCATCCCGAAGGGACTCAGGGCAGCTTCCAACAAAAAATGGCAAACATTCAATAGCATAATACATTAATAATCAAAGACAAAATAAGCAACCCTGCCTAATCCCAAAAATAAATTCATAACTATAACAAAGTAACCGATAAATAAAATTAAATAATAACATAACCGGAAAACCACAACATATCTATAAATTAGAGTTCCAAATTATATGATTCTACAAAGTCTCAGTTAAAACTGTTGTCTTTTCAAATTCAAAGCCAGAATCATGTGCGATTATAAGAACATTTGTATTAGAATAAACATAGCATGGCTTTGGAACCATCTTCCCTTATACTTCAGGGACAGCCCACAAGTTATTCCATCATATCTCAGCATTGCATACAAAAAATCTTAGGTTCAATTCCTAGCTACTATCTTCTAAAAAAAGGACTTGAGTGAAACCTGGCTGGGCAAAACTTACACACAGAGTCATTGCTGGGCAGGATAACTAGATGGACAAGAAGTGACATCTTCCTGAATTGTGCAATTATGTTCTCTAATAAAAACATACACACAAACATGCCAAAAGTTCATGAATTGTTACACCAGACATAAGTTTCAATTTAGCAAATCACAGATATTTGGGGAAAGGAAAAGTGCAAAACATAGCAATTGGTTTATATGTATAATGTTCATTAAAAGATTCTCAGATCAGCTTAAGACTGATATGGCAAAATTAAAAACTGGTTTAAAAGATTAGTAAATTAGGCACATTATTACATTTGACACACCCAGAAGATAACTGGATCACATTCAACTTCTGGCTCCCTGATTATCCAAGTGATTTTTTTCATTAAAATTGACTTGAACTTCCTTTTTAAAAAGGTAACCTATCATGTGAATTGCTTTTCTCACCCCTTCCCTTTTATTCCTATTCCTTTAAAAAAGCCCTTTTCTTTATATATATATATATTTTAGATCTTCCCCAAGATCCATGGTTTTGAAGAAAATGAGACCCTTGCCAATTTCTTCAATCTCCTTCCTCTTGCATTCTGTTGAACTCTTCTAAATTTGTGCCATGTTCGATGAAATATCTTTATGGTATGCAATGTACCCCAAGACATTCATGGATTGGATAAATTACCGCAGTTCCCTCCCTTCAAAGACATACAGAGGCTTGTTGTGGATACAGCAGACTTGACCAACAGACTACAGGACCCCAGGCTTATTTTCCAAGGTAGGATCACTTTAAATAATTGAAACCAGTAGAAATTAATTTGCCAGTGGTATAAATTTAGTCCACAAGGAAGTATTACTCTCATAAGAAAATATATTTGGTACATATGCATACTGAAAAAATGGTAATGTAGACATAATTTGTTGTGAAAGAGCCTTTTTTGGAGTATTTAATGAGGTGGAAGAATTTGCAAGTATATCAGTATATAATATATAGTTTTGTGCATTTGTTTGGAATCAATATGCATTTTGTTTTGTGTCATTCATTTGGCCCCGTTTTCATTTTTGTTCACTGCTTCCAAAAATGGGGCGCCTATTTTAGCCCACCAAGTTTTAAAATGGGCGATCTCCTGTTTTTTTTTTCTTTCTAGAAAGGAAATCCCCTTTAAATCATTCCGTCTTTTCCCTCCTGGCCCTTGAAAACTATAACAAAGTTCTTGAAAACAGAGGTGATGTGTAGAGGAAAAGGAGGAACCAACCACTCAGTAATACAGAGATGGAGATGGAGAAGGAAAGAATAGTTTTCTCGAGGGCATAAAAAGAGAGAGAGGCTGAAGGTTTGATGGAGAGATAGTGGTTTTCTAAAGTGATAAGGTATTCAACAGAAGCCCAAACATTTCTTTCCTTTGAAAAATACTTATTTTTTAAAAAATCACATTACCCAGAAAGGGGGGGGGGAGGTTTTTTTCATTTTGGTTAAACTGCAGAAATATAATTATTATAAAGTAATTTTGATAGGAGAGGAAAGGAGGAGCACAGAAAATAGGGGTGTCCCTTGTGACTAAGGCTCTGTGAGCCAGAGGCAGGCACCCAAAGATTTAAAAAATATTATTAAAGCAAATAGAAGAAAGCAGCTAAAAAAGAGATCTTCTTCTCCCTCCCCCTAAAACCCCACGCGTGCTCCCCAAACTCACCCCCACCGCTTCTAAACTCCCAGCCCATTTAAAGAAAAATATAAATAAATAAAACAAGATGCCAATCAGCCAAGCTAAGGCAAAAAGATCTTTCCCTGCAGGCTGACAGTGAAACAACTTATGCAAGGAAGGCAAGGAAGCACTGCAGGCAAGAGAAAGCAGCAGCAACCACAAACCAGCCAGCACACAGCAGCACCCAAGGACATGCCCGCCGTGTGTGCTTTGGGAGTGGTCATTCCATTACATAACCTGGCGATGTCACTTGGGCTCTGATTGGCCAAAAGCTCCAAACACCACCTACTCTTCCTCTGACACATGTGGAAGGACTTCCTGGGCTGTGTGAGGAAAGCCATGCAGCCCAAAAATCAAACAAAGAAACGGTTACCGTTCAACTTTCATTTCACCAATTCTTTCTTTTAAGAAGAGGATCTTTAATTTCATGCCATCTGAATGGATGGTATGAAATGAAAGCACGAATGAAACAAATGAGACAAATACCGGGTCCATCTCTAATAGTATATGCATTTTCATACCTCTACAATTGTCACTATAATTGCATTTTATGCAGACCTTTAGAAGAATGAAAGCAATTAAGTTTTTTTTTGGTAAACAACACTTTTTATTTTCTGCTTCAGCCTAATCCACTTAGTATTTTTAACAGGATCAGGGATGTTTATTTAGTATTATGTCAAGGGTGATGTATGTCTGTATATTGAAATGCAATACAGTGAAGAGTAACACTGGAAAGATTATTAATGTTCCTTTATTCCTTTATCTGATTTGTCATCGATCCACTCCTTTGGACTTCATGCAAATCTACCATTTATCAAAATATACAATCCTGTCCTATTCTTTTCAATTTTTGACCAAATAATTTAAATTCAGATAATATTTTGACTTTGGCATTTTAGCAATTACATTTTGTGGCTGTACCGTTTCGGTTGCTTGCCCTTGTGACCCTACAACTGCTTGTCCTTGTTCTGGGGCTCAAATCCCAACTACTGGTGGATGAGACACGATGGACCTGTGTCTTTCTGGTTGCCTCATCTTCATTCAACATTATATTTCCCCAAAATGAATAGTTGTCAGAAATGAAGTTTTTCCCTAATGTCTGAACATTACACATACTGATGACAAATTGTCTTTCGGTGTGCATCCGATGGAAGGCCATGCTATACAGCAGATGTAGTACGAGTCAATGTCTTGAATGAATCAACTACAGTTAGCTCATCTATTGACATCTAGATGAATAACTCCTCAGAGTGGTGTTTCTTTTCAGTGAGAAATATAAATATGTGACAACATAGTGGTTTACTGAGAATTGACTATATTCTGGCTTCCCTGGGCAGGGAGTTCCAGAGTTGAAGGGCAGCCACTGGAAAGACCTGCTCTTACATTCCCACCAACTGTCTCCAATGCCACCCTACACCTGGAGACTGGTTCCTTGAGAGTTGAGGCCAGGGTATGGGTGGTAGTATTGAATTACTGGCTCGGATTATCCATCTTTCCTCTGGGCCTTGGACCTCTCATTATGAATGACAACTTTCAATCCAGTTGGAAAAGGGAGATAGTAGGCAAAATTACATCTCTGGGTCTGTCCCCAGAACTACTAACCAGCATGGGATATGACCAAGCCAAATCACAGATCAAACAACAAATAACAGATATTTAGCACCAAACAGATCTATCTGGTGCCCCATCCTTTATTACCAATGTAGACAGAAGGATCTGTACTTCCCCTATGGAATATCTTATTGTATTGGAGGTAGCCAACCATCGGAGAGCCTTCACCTTGGCATATTTTGAGGTCCCTAATGATTTCTAGTTTCTGGGTTTGTCTAAAGTTTATTTAAAGCCCCCTTGCACACTGTAGTGTGTACAAATAGGAGACTAATGTAGCAATGTTTTTCTCCAAATTTAGAATGATTTACTTCTGGATTTTTAAAAAGTTTCTTGCCGTTAAATTGCAGGGGGGAGAACAGGGCCTCCATACCCACCAGAAAGTCCCATGGAAATTTAAAAATGAAAATAGCAAAAAAAGGTTTTAAAAATATAAAATAAATGGGCTGAATGGATTTTTTTTTTAGCATCCTAGGATACTGTCCTGCCTGATCAGTGAAAGATGGGCACCCTGCCCATCACACAACATTGCTGGACTTCTGGCAGAGGCCTCACACACAACCATAGTGGAAGCATCCAAGCAAGCGTCTGTCCAAACACGGGAGCCTTCCCATGTTGTGCTGGCTCCAACTGAGCCTGCACAGGTCCCCATCACTTCAGTGATGCTTTTCCTCTGTAATGGGGAAAGGATCATTGTGATGAAGTGGCGTGAGGAGTGACAGAGTTGCCCCTCATCTCTGCAGTTTCACCACAGAGGCAGGTGAAATGGTATGGAGGGAATTCCCACATATGATGAAGTTCTTAGCGAGCATGTAGGTGAATATCAATAGCATAACTGACTGCAGCTAATAGAAATCATAATTCTTTAATATATAATGATCTTAGTAAAGTAATGTCTGTGAAGTCACAAGTACTGTGAATGCACTTGCCATTCAGTACCTGATGTCTCTCAAAAATAACATCCATTGTTATTTTTTGATCCAGATCTCTGCTATGTTAGAATGGTGACAGTTTTAAAGTAATACTTGTTCAAAATGAACAAGTATCAAATAAAATGGGGAGGGGGAGGTGCTGAAGGAATGTCTTTATTTAGGGAGATGATAATGTATCATCATCACTCTAGAGTATATTAGTACTGGCCATATACTCAATTTAGTACAGTTTGGCAGCTATGAAAGACACAATCCAAATATGTTTTCTAGCAAGCGCTCATTGTTGCCACCACCCAGATCTCTTAAAATATCAGAAATCATTAAAATCAAGCCACTTCTGCAAAGATGCCTCTTGCAAAGGGAATGAGTGGTCTGGCAACAACAACAAACAACATTATATGGTATGTACAGAGTATGCAGCAAAATGAAGGCATTGTTCTTCCCAGATAAGAATTTTGCCTTCTCCCTCATGAATTTTTCCTTCACTTTCCAATTTTTTAGCATTGAAAAAGCTTAAAACATCTCACGAACATTCAGAAATACAGTTTAGACTAGGCATGAGCAAACTTCAGGCCTCCAGGTGTATTTGTAACAGCGGCTGTTAGGAATTGTAGGAGTTCAAGTCCAAAACACATGGAGGGCTGAAGTTTGCCCTTGCCTGATTTAGACACCCCAAAAGGGGAGAATGCAAAGTTAGCATGTTATATAAACACAGAAAATATAAAAAATTCTAGATGTAAACAATTTTTACAAGTTTCACTCTGCAATACTACAAATTTAGAGGGAATTAGGTGGCCTGGAGGAGCATGGGGATACTATAGAGCAAAACATTGGTAAAAGGAAGTATAGCCTTATAAAAATTCCCAAAAACCACACCCATTTAAGGAGACCAAATGACGTCAAGATATCCTGCCCATGGGATTTGGTAATGCATGCCTGAATTGAGTGGCAAACATTAGAAGTCCAGGAATTAGATACCAGATTAAACTGGAGTTTGAGGCCAGATTATACTGCCAGCTGGGATTTTTTTTCAATGAAAGAGTCCGAGAAAACCCTAGGCTAGAGGAAAGAAACTGATCCAGGGAGGTTGATTTCCAGACATGTCTTTTATAATTCTCAGTTTGAGTTTTCCGGGCATAGCTCTTTAAAAACAGGCACCTAACAAAATAAAAAAGAAACTATAAATCACATGATTAGAGCAATGTGGTTAAGAGCTGTTCATATGAAACAAGGGAAATGTTCACTCTCGTCCAGGACTTCTTAAACGTTTTCCATTAATGATGGTTCCCAAATGAGAAATATCTTTGTGATCTCTTTCTGACCAAGACATGTTTACATGTCTACAAGTATACAGTCATATAAAATAGAATAAAAATAAAACATTTACTGGTTTCAAGGATTTCTGATTTTTCTTTTTGTGGAATACAGCTGAAACATTTTCTTTAGAGTCCACTGTAAAAGCTGCATGTTGTTGCTAACATATTTGTGTAAATGAGTGACATTCAGAAACCTCTCACTTTGTCAATCTTTTGTGA